TAAGTAAATATCTTGGTATATAATTTCATATAAGTGTGCTATTACCCACAAGAGTACATTATTACCTATAAGTAGAATTTCTGAACCAAAGGGTCCATGCATGGTAATTTTGTTATGCTTTCAAATTGAATTGATCTCCATACAGGTCAATTTACACTCCAGTCAGCAATGCATGAGGATATACTGACAACACATTTTTTTAAAGATTTTATTTATTTATTCATGAGAGACAGAAAGAGAGAGAGAGAGAGAGAGAGAGAGAGAGAGAGGCAGAGACACAGGCAGAGGGAGAAGCGGGCTCCATGCAGGGAGCCTGACATGGGACTCGATCCTGGATCCAGGATCAGGCCCTGGGCTAAAGGAGGTGCTAAACCACTGAGCCACCCAGGCTGTCCTGACAACACATTTTTGACAACACAAGTTAACAAACTTTTAATTTCTATGCCAATCTAAAATGTTATTTATTTATTTATTTTTTAAAGATTTTATTTATTTATTCATGAGAGACACAGAGAGAGAAAAGAGGCAGAGACACAGGCAGAGGGAGAAGCAGGCTCCATGCAGAGCCTGATGTGGGACTCAATCCCAGGACTCCAGGATCACACCTGGGCCAAAGGCAGGCTCTAAGCCACTGTGCCACCCAGGGACCCCCTAAAATGTTATTTAAAAACACACTTCACTTTACATTAACTTGTCTCTTACAAGAAGAGAAATTGTGGGCTCTGGGGTGGTTTACTCGGTTAAGCGTCTGCCTTTGGCTCAGGTCATGATCCTAGGGTCCTGGGATGGAGCCCTAGGTAGGGCTTTCTGCTCAGTGGAGAGCCTCTTCTCCTTCTCCCTCTGCCTGCCACACCCCCTGCTTGTGCTCTCTTTCCCTTTATCAAATGAATAAATAAATAAAATCCTTAAAAAGAAAATTTCATAACCCATAAAATAAAAAATCCCTAACAATGGCATGCCTGGCTGACTCAGCAATAGTGCACATGACTCATGATCTTGGGGCCATGAGTTTGAGCCCCACATTGTGGGCAGAGTTACTCAAAGAAAAACCCTAACAAAATATTAATTAATATAATCTAGCAACTTTAAAAATGATAACATATAACTTATGGAACAAAAATAATTTTAAGGAAAATCTTAAATTTCCTATTGGAGTTTATCACAAGAGAACAAGGTTGACTAAATATGTGAAAATCAATCAATATAATTAAACATATAAAGACTAAAAAAGAAAAACCATAAGATTTTCCCAATAGACACAATTATTTAATAAAATTCAACATCCAATTATGATAACAATTCTAAGTAAACTATGAATTGAAGGTAAGTTCACAAACTTGATAAAGAACATCTATGAAAAAACTGTAGCTAATATACTTACATGGAAAGACCAAATGCTTTCCTCTTAAGATCTGGAACAGTCCAAGAAAATGTGCTCTCACCATTTCTATACATCATTGCTATGAGGTCCAAGTTAGTGTAAATAAGGCAAAGAAAAAAAAAAAGAAAGTCATATGCATTGGAAAAGAAGAGTTAATGTCTATCTAGGAAGAAAAAGAGAATCTACAAAAAGTTACTATGTTATAACTTGCAAGTTTTAAAAGGTATCAGAGCTCAAGATCAATGTATCATAACGAACTGTATTCTGTATATTAGTGACAAATAATTTAAACACAAAATTAAGAAAATCATACGATTTACAACAGCATCAAAACATGAAATATTTGTGACTAAATCTAACAAAATACATGCAGTATTTGTATGTTGAAGGTTATTCTCATTGCTGAGAGACAGTAAAGAAGATTGAACTAAATGGAGAGATGATACCACATACATGTTTGGGAAGACAATACTGTTCCAATGTAATTCTCCTTGAATTGATCTATATATTCAACATAATCCCAACTAAACCCTTTTTTAGACATTGAAAAACTGATTCTTAAATAATATGGAAATATTAAGGATCTCAAAGAGCAAAATGATTTTCATAAAGGAGAACAAATTTGGGGACTCACACTACCTAATTTCAAGAGTTTTTTTTTAAGATTATATTTATTTATTCATGAGAGACACACACACACACACACAGAGAGAGAGAGAGAGAGACACACACACACAGAGTGAGAAGCAGGCTCCTCGCAGGGAGACCGATGTGGGACTGGATCCCGGACCGGGATCACACCCTGAGCCAAAGGCAGACACTCAACCGCTAAGCCACCCAGGGGTCCTTAATTTCAAGACTTATAAGGCTACAATAACCAAGATAGTGTGACAATCCTGTAAGGATAGACACATAGCTCAATGGAGCACAACAGTGTCCAGAAATAGATCAAGTTTCAACAATGTTGTCAAGATAATTCAACTAGGAAAGAATAGTTTTTTCAACAAATGGTGACGAGACAATTATACTTCCACATTAAATAATTTTGACTGTTACTTCACATCATATAAGAAAAATAATTCAAAATGGATCAGAGGCTTAACAATTAAAATTTAAGGCTTTAAGAAGGGCGCCTGACTGGCCTAATTAGTGGAACATGCAACTCTTGATTTCAGGGTTGTAAATTTGAGCCCCACATTGGCTGCAGAGATTACTTAAAAAAATAAAACCTTAGGGGTGCCTGGGCGGCTCAGTCTGTTAAGCGTCTGCCTTTGGCTTAGGTCATGATCTCAGGGTCCTGGGATCCAGCCCCATATTGGGCTCCCTGCTCCAAGGGAAGCTTGCTTCTCCCTCTCCCTCTGCCTGCCACTCCCCCTGCTCCTGCTCTCTGTCTCTGTCATGTGAAAAAAAAAATCATTAAAAAAAACCTTAATACTTTTAGAAGACATCAGACAAAATCTTTGTGACCTTGAGTTAGGGAAATATTTCTTAGCTAAGATGCAAAATGCATCAATCATCAAAAAAATCATAGTCTGGACACCCTCAGTTTAAAAGTCCTGCCTTTTGAAAGTACCTCTAATAAATTTATGGGATGAGCTAGACACCAAGAGAATATATCCAAAAGACATATATATATATAAAAGGACTTATATGCATACTATTAAAAAAAACACCACCTTAAAACCCAATAATAGACAACCCAATTTTTTAAATGAGAAAAAAAGGATTTGGACACCTCATCATATACAGATGGCAAATTAGCACAGGCAAACATATTCAAAGTTACAGAATAGCAAATTAAAACAATAACATTACATACTAAAATGGTTAAAAAAAAACAAAAGCTGATCATTTTAAGGGCTAATAAGGATTTAGAGCAACTGAAATCATTAGATATTGCTGGTGGGAATGCAAAAAAAGCATATCTAGAAAACAGTTTGGCAGTTTCTCCTGAAGTTAAACATACGATTACCATACTGACCCTTTTTGGTATCTACTCCCCTTCAAAATGAAAACATGTCTACACAAGTACCTGTATGTTAATGTTTACAGCTGCCTTATTCATAATATTAAAATTATGATAACATAATGTTGTTAAAAACAACTCAAATGCCCATCAATTGGCTTCATACTATATGATTCCATTTATATGGCAAACTGGAAAAGACAAACTACAGTGAAAGAAATCAGGTCAATGTTTGCCAGGAACTGGGAATTCACCAGTGTTCTCTTCCAGGACTTGTATGATTTCATCTCTTATATTTAAATATCTAATCCATTTGGAATTTAGCCTGGTATTAGAAATTGATTCCCTGGGCACCTGGGTGGTTCAGTGGTTGAGCATCTACCTTTGGCTCAGGTCATGATCCCGGGGTCCTGGGATCGAATCCCACATCAAGCTCCCTGCAAGGAGCCTGCTTCTGCCTCTGCCTATGTCTCTGCCTCTCTCTGTGTGTCTCTCATGAACGAATACATAAAATCTTTAAAAAAAAAAAAAAAGGAAGAAAGAAAGAAATTGATTCCTTTTAGTTATTTAAAATCCCAACTTTTGGGGCTCCTATGTGGCTCAGTTGTTTAAGCGTCTACCTTCAGCTCAGGGTATGATCTCAGGGTCCAGGGATCAAGCCCCACATGGGGCTCCCTGCTCAGCGGGGAGACTGCTTCTCCCTCTCCTCTCCAGTTGTACTCTTTCTCACTCTCTTTCACAAATAAATAAATCTTTAAAAAAATCCCAACTTTTCATGACATCATTATATACCTAATAAAACAGCTAAAGTTTTAAAAAGTCCTTAAAAAGTGAAAATACCAAACACTGTCAAGAATATGGAAAACCTAGATGTCTCATAAATTGCTGGTGGAAGTATAAAATGGTAAAGCTACACTAGAAGAGTTTGGCAGTTTATTAAAAAATGAAACATATATACATCACTTGAAAAAAAGATTTTATTTATTCACGAGAGACAGAGAGAGGGAGAGACATAGGCAGAGGGAAAAGCAGGCTCTCTGCTGGGAGCCTGATATGGGACTTGGTCTCAGGACCCCAGGATCATGACCTGAGCTGAAGGCAGATGCTCAACCACTGAACTACCTAGGGGGCCTACAACATGACTTTTTGTTCTCTACTTTTGGAAGCTCTTTTTATATTAGGGGTACAAAGCTTTTGTTTTTGACATGTCACACTCCTGGGCATTTGTCCAGATAAATGAATAAAGGCCACACAAAAACCAAACTGTGGTACATTCATATGATGGAATACTACTCAGTAACAAAAAGGAACAAACTATTAATATATGAAACTGCTTGAATCTCAAGAAAGGTATGCCGAGTTAAAAAAAAAAGATAATTTCAATGGGTCACATATTATATTATTCCATTTATGTAACATTCTTCAAGTGAAAAAATTATTGAAATGGAGAATAGTGACTGCTTGTGGTTAGGCTTGTGAGGGTGAGAGAAAGGAGTGGGTGTGACTATAAAGAAGTGGCACATGGGAGATATTTGTAGCAATGAAGTAGTTCTGGGTCTTGACTGAAGTGCATCAAGAATCTTTGTATGAGATAAAATAGCATAAACATGTGCATACACATTGTATCAATATCAATTTTGATGTAGCATAGCAATCACTTTTTGGCGTTTTGGCTAAGATCAAATGTAATATTTGTTCTTATCTGTTTAATATCTGATATGTCTTCTGAGGACAATATATTAAGTGGATTTTTTGGAGCAGGGAGATGGAATAGGAGATTACTCTGTCCACATATTGATCTGGTATTGCAGTACCTTCTGGAACAGCACACCCCCTTGGGGGAAATATCCAGGTGTCTAAATTCAGCTTGAGCTGTGGTGGGTTGTTTGAGATTGTGTGCTGGATGCTTCTGCCTTCTAGTGTCTGGGTGGGGGGCTTGTGCCTGGCTCAGTATGTGCCTGACCATACTATGGTCTTCTACTTATTGAAAGATTGTATTTATTATTTATTTATTTAATTTATTTATGAGAGAGAAAGAGTGTGAGTAGGAGGAGGAACAGAGGGAGAGGGACAAGCAGACTGTGCTGACTGCAGAGCCCTACTCTGGGCTTGATCCTGTGACCCAGAGGTCCTGATTTGAGATGAATCCAGGGGTCAGATGCTTAACTGACTGAGCCACCAAGGCACCCCTACCCATTCAACTATTGACATTTGTTGGGTTTCTAGGTTGGGGTTATTATAAATACTACTGCTATGTGTATTTGTTTTCCCATAAACTATATACTTAAGAGTAAATTTCTGGGTCAAAAGATACGTGGGTCTGGAAATTTATTAGATAATTCTAAAGTGTTTTTTTTTAAGATTTTTAAATTTTATTTATCATGAAAGACACACAGAGAGGCAGAGACATAGGCAGAGGAAGAAGCTCTTCCAAGCTCTTCCAAGAGGAAGAGGCTCCTTTTGGGAGCCTGTTGCAGGACTCATTCAGGACCTGAGTGAAAGGCAGATGCTCAACCACTGAGCCACCCTCTAAGATGTTTTCTAAAGTGGTTGTATCCATTTTTAGTCCCACTTAATCCCAGTTCCAGTTACTCCATATCTTTTTGAACACTTGGTATTGTTAGTTTCTCTGGTTTAGGCATTATGCTGGAGTATAAAGAGATATCACTGTAGTCTTAATATATAATTTCTTGATTACTAATGAGATTGATAACTTATACGTGTGTGTGCGCGCGCGTGTATGCCATTTGATTTTTCTCTTTGGTGAAGTATGTTTTTAAGATTTGACCATTTTTTCCCCACTGAATTGATTTCTTAATTTGTAGGAGTTCTTTGTAGATTCTGGTTATGTACCCAACATTAGTTATTTTTATAAAGATTTTATTTATTTATTCATGAGAGACACAGAGAAAGAGGCAGAGACACAGGCAGAGAGAGAAGCAGGCTCCATGCAGGGAGCCTGATGTGGGATCCGATCCAGGTTCACGCCCTGAGCTGAAGGCAGACGCTCAACTGCTGAACCTCTCAGGCGTCCCTACGCACCATTAGTTATATGTGTTACAAATATCTTGAATTCTATGGGTTCATTTCTATTCTCTTAATGATAGTTTCTGATGAGCAGAAATTCTTAATTTTAATGTATCCAAATACATAATTTTTTCCTTTGTAGTCAGCGCTTTTTGTATCCTTATAAATAAATTTTTTCCTAATCCAAGGTCATGATAATATTCTCCTAATATTATCTTTGAGGAGAGACAAACCTGAGGGCTGACCTTCAAATCATCAAGCCTCCCTGCTTGAATTGGGACATTAACCTTCTACCCTTGGGCTGGGATTTATACCACTGGCTCCCCTGATTCTCAAGACTTCAGACTTGGATTCCTGGAGTTACACTATTGACTTTCCTGAAGGTAAGGCCAGGAAGTCTTTTATTTCTTTTTTAAATTATTGTTATTTTAAATAGGCTCTAAGCCGGGAATGGAGCCCAACATGGGACTTGAATTCACAACCTGAACTGAGATTAAGAATTGGATGCTTAACCAACTGAGTCACCTAGGCACACCAGAAAATCTTGATCTGTAGATTCAAGAAGTTCAACAAAACCCAAGTAGGATACATTTTTTAAAACCATACACCAAGACACAACTTCAGATTGGAGATGGAAGCTATTGGGATTTCTTAGCTTCATATATATATATATATATATATATATGCACACAATGTATATATTTTGTATATATATACACAAAATTTCAGTTATATATATACAAAATTTTATTTATATTTATAATCTCTCTCCACATACACACATAGACACAAACACATGCCTGCACATGTGTACACACACAAATATATCTCCTATTGCTTCTGTTTCTCTGGAGAACCTTAATACATCCAAATTCAAATGTAATTGCATAAAGTATTAATGGATTAAATATTTCAGATAAATGATTTAGCCTACATTAAAAACAACAATTGTATGTTACTTTAAAAAGCACATTTAAAAAACATTCAAAAAGAGGGGGTGCCTGGGTGGCTCAGTCAGTTAAGCACCTGACTTTTGACCTCAGCTCAGATCTTGATCTCAGGGTCATGAGTTCAAGCCCCATGTTGGGCCTTACGTTGGGCCCCACATTGGGCTCCATACTGGGAGTGGAGCCTACCTAAAGAAAAAAAATTAAAAACGTGCAAAAAGCTTAAAGGCAAAAAAAAAAAAAAAAAAAAAAAAAAAAAAAAAAAAAGAAAAGAAAAAAAAAGAAAAAAGAAAAAAGAAAAAAAAAGCTTAAAGGCAAAAGTTTGGAGAAAGACACACTTTGTCAACACTAGCCAACAGAAAGCTGATATACTATTTAAGCAAAATAAAAACCACTGAAGATAAAAATCTCACTTAATTATGAAGGTAAAAATTTTAAAAATTAATTATGAAGGTGTAAGAATTGTATATTTGTAAATATCTAATAACAAAGTCTTAAAATACAGGAGGTAACACTTGACAGTTCTACAAACAAATCCACATTCTTGTGAAATTATTTTTTATATTTATTTTTTTATGATAGTCACACAGAGAGAGAGAGAGAGAGAAAGGCAGAGACATAGGCAGAGGGAGAAGCAGGCTCCATGCACCGGGAGCCCGATGTGGGATTTGATCCCGGGTCTCCAGGCCCATTCTTGTGAAATTCTAAACACGTCTCTCACAGTAATTAATATAACAAGACACAGAAAATCAGCAAGAAAATATAAGAATTGAACTTTATATTTTGTCAAGCATTTTTGTTATTTTCAGAGGGGGCATTTTTTATATAATTTACCTATTCTGTCATTACAAGAAGCTATGCTTCTTTTCCACTAGGAAAAGTACACCACAACTCAACTGCTGCCAACAGTAAATATCTGGGTCATGCAAAGATATCTTAAGATGGGAAAGTTTTTAAAGCCTATCTGAAAATGAGGGTAAGGAACAATGATATTGGACAGGAAGACGGTAAGCAGAGACTAAAGTCTCTAAAAAAAAAAAGGGAATGAACAGTAGAAATCGGGGCTTAGCATTAGGAGGAAGGTTCTCTCTGGGAATCCAAATAAACTTTGGTGAAAAACAAGACGTTATAATAAAAAAATGCAATGGATTTGAAATCATCCTGGATCTTCCTTTTACTAATTCTATGCTCTTGGACCAGTTATTGACATTTTGAACCTCAGGTTTCTTTCTTTCTTTTCTTTTTTTTTTTCCTTAAGATTTTTAAATTTATTTATTCACGAGAGACACACAGAGAGAGGCAGAGACACAGGCAGAAGGAGAAGCAGGCTCCCTGTGGGGAGCTGTATGTGGGACTCAACCCCAGAACTCCTTGCAAGGAGTCCATAAAATAAAGATCATTCTATCTATCCCTATGAGGGTTAAATTTTCCTGTTATAGGCTTTCCGAGCACTGTGTCTATCTTCCTTCAAGCAATTTATTATTGAGTGTCTACACTGTGTTAGAATCCCACACAATGGTGAATAAGACAGATCAAGTTTATCATTATCTTCCTAGAACCTGGCACGCCTGGCAGATAGTAAATATTCAACAAATATCCTTCAATGGTGAGCTTGTATAAAAACAAAAACAAAACCCATAGGGAGTACAAAAGTATCCAATAAATGACAAGAGGCTTTCTACAATAAAATACAGGTTATTATACTTTCTAAGTAGTGTTCTAGATGCGGAAATAAGTGCATTATGTTCCTTCACCTAAATACATTTCATAAATAAATAAATACATTTCATTAAAGAGGAAAACAGGAAAAATACCTCATACTAAAGAAACATCCATTTAAAGGAAAATTATTTAGATAAGTAATTTCAAAACCCCAAAATCATAGGTTACATGACAAAATTATATACTCTGGATGTTAAAAGCGAAAAAATATTTTTCTTCCATTTCATTTTTCTATTACAAAAAGTTAGATTTATGTAGGTATTACGTATAACTTCAAACACATAAAAAGAACTTAAACAGTATACAATTAAACCTTATGCCCCCCACCTAGATTTACTATTAAATTTTTGCCACATTTGTTTCCTCAATTATTAACATTTTGCTACATTCACTTTAGTGATTTATAACATATTGCCACATTTGTTCTCCCCCTCAAGCCATTTGAAAGTAATTGCAGACAGAAAGATACTTCACCTCTAAGAACCTCAGCAAGTACCTCCTAAGAACTAAGACATTCAACATGAGCATGATATAACATTCCAGATGCTTAACCTTGGTACACCAATGCAGTCTACTATACAGTCAAATTTCCCAATTCCTTATTTAGTAGCTTTTACGATCTAGGATCTGAACAATAATCACACACAAAATTTAGGTATCACATCTTTTTTTTTTTTTCCAGAACTGCTCTACCACTTTTACTTTTATGATACTGCCTTTTTGCAGAATCTAGAGCTTTTATTTTGTTGAAGGTCCTACAATTGTCTGATTGTTTTCTCATGATGAGATTCGGGTTAAACATTCTTGGCATTTGGCAGGTGATGCGTGCTTCCTAAGTGCATCAGATCAGAAGGCATAGATCTCCATTTCAAGATAAGCCCATTATTAAATTTTTCCTTAGGACAAACACTCATTCACTTTATTAGTTTCTGGTTAGTACAACCCCTCTTTGCAAGTATTCACGAGGTGGGAGCAGGGTGGGGTAGTGGGAAAGACACTGGGATGAGACCTTAGGTTCAGTGTCAATTTGGCCAATAATTAGTTGTGGGTCCCTAGGTAAATTTCTAAAAATTTTTATCGGGGGGGGGTGGGGGGGAGGATTGTGCCAGATTTCTAAAGACCCTGAAAAAAAAAAAAACA